AAAAAAAAAAAAAAAAAAAGTTGAAAAAAAACCAAAGAGAAGGAAAATGTCTTACTGTCCTTTATAATAATTTGACTGTCTCCCTTCTTCCTTTCCCAGACCTTTACCAGGAAGGGACATAAGGAGAGACATATATCCCTTCTGTACTCAGACCTAAGATGTGATGTTATTCAACTTCTGAAATAGCTCTCCAGCCTGGAAATTGTCTTTAAGAGAAACGTGTTAAGAGGGAGGGAGCATTAAACTGTGTTTTAGGCATGAACATGGCTTCTCTTTATCCCTGCCTCAGCTTCTCTGTTATCTAGTTCTGTAACTAGAAAAGCTGTGTGGCTGGAAATAGGGCCAGGCTACAAGGTCCTTTAGGGAAGAGACTGCCTCTTTTCACCACCTCAGTAAAAACAGTGAACAATAAAAGAAGCAAAAAAAAACCCTCCTGAATAGAAAGGAAATAGTCTGTGTAACGATACATACTTTTACAACAAAATAAGGTGATTGACTTCATCAACTTTATTACCTGGGTCCCTTAGAAAGCCTTAGGTTCTTTCCTAAGTTACCACAGAGGAATTTACAAAATTTGAAGGATTTAGAATGTTCAAGGTAATAATTAAGAATGGGAATGGGGTGATAGAAGTCGATCATTTACCACAGAGACAAGTAATAGGCTGGAGGCTTAGCAGTAAGGGGGCATTTAATGTAGGGCCAGTTGACCCTAAAGCCCTTACCATCACTGAACAAGGAAAGAGTGGGGGTCAGAGAACCATGGCCCAGAGGGACAGGGCCTCGTAAGGATCACCTGAGCCTGTGAGGCCACAGCAGCCCCCTAAGGACACTGCAGGATGTAGTGCAGTATAATAATCTGTATGCGTAGTAATAGGTAAGTGATACTTATTTTTATTTTACTAAAATAAGCATTTAAAAAAGCACCATATTTCTGCTTAAAATGATTAAAAGTATAAATATTTTGGTATATCAGTGATTCCATCTTTTTATTCCCAAATGTGTCAGTTCTTGAAAATGTGAGATAAATGTCACTGACTCGGTCAATAAAGGAGTGATAATATGGGCCCTTACCCATCTTACTGACATATATCAAACATGCAAAGCTGTGAAAATGATGAACGGTGTATATATAAAAGGCAGTACTTATTTAGTTCAGCCTAAGTTGATACTCTGAGAATTAATATCTTTAAACCTTTTTGAGGGGTGCCTGGGTGGCTCAGTCAGTTAAAGCGTCCAACTCTTGATCTCTGCTCAGGTCATGATCTCTTGGTTCATGAGATCGAGCCTGCGTCAGGCTCTGCACTGACAGCGTGGAGCCTGCTTGGGATCTCCTCTCCCCTTCTCCCTGACTCGTGCTCACTCTCTTTCTCTCTCAAAATAAATAAACCTTAAAAAAAAAACCAAAAACCTTTTGAGTACTTACACTTTGCCTTTTGCATCTGTCTCATAAAATTCGGCACTTTGTAAACACTGACCTTGAAGAAATAATGTTTTGTGGGTTTTGTTTTATTTTGTTTGCAAAGGTTTTTAAACTAAGCTTTTTAATGAAGGATAATGAAGTCACATTGAAATAACCTGTATCCGGATCCAGACATGGAACATTACCAAAAAGAACCCCAGAAACTCATGGTGCTTTGTCTAGTCACTATCCCTCCTCCCCTCCACTCCATAGCTCAAGGGTGACCACTGTCCTGACATCTAACAACGTAGCTTAGTTTGAAGAAAGGATGTTAACATCTAATCTAAAAAGTTTTGGAGAGTCTTTAATGAGCTTAAGGTAAAGAAGAAAACATGAATATATACTGTTACTCTTTCTTTATGTGACTCGTCTGTCTGAAGTACTTCAGGAGAAGCATGCTTAGATTAGAGCAAAGTGGAAAATTTGAGTCTGGATCTGCATTTACTCAAGTACCTCATCTGTGGAAAAGATGGAAGCCATATTCTGTACATTCCTGTATTTTGATAAAAGACAAAACTTTGTCGGGTCACTCTCTTTTCTGCCTGTGGCTTTGACTTCAAAGGGAATTCCCACCTTTCTCTGTAGATGGAAGGCCAGTCTTCCTTTGGTATTCTGCCATCTATGTTTCTTATTATTAATCAACATGCTGGTTTATTCCCAGGACTTTGGTAAGGTATGGAAAATGAATTGTTCTCTCTGCTTTACACATTTGTATTCACATTTCACTTCGGGGGCTCTTTAACTCTTCATGGGATACTTAAAAGCTCTTTTTCCATTTAGAAGAGAGTGATCGATGAAAGGTGACTTAGATGGAATATTCCAAAATACGGGCTTTATACTATAAATCTCTGCCTGTTGTAATGTTCTTTGCATTCTGAAAATCTTATGATTTCAGTTAAAGTCTTATCTTTTTTTGTTTATAAATTGAATTGATTCTTAAGCTTTTGCATTTAGAGAAAAGAACGTATATACTTGCATGCTTTTTAAACTGTGGAAGTTGCCAGATTAGGGGCCCTCTGAATAGGAAAATTTGTCCATTCAACAGTTGTCTGGGTACTTTGTTAACTAGGTGCTCTTAGATTTGACAGAGGTTCTAGTCTTAAGACTGATAAGGTATATAAGCCAATTTGACAATAAATTATATTCATAAAAAAAAAAAAAAGACTGATAAAGCCATGAAGGATGCCTGGGTGGCTCAGTCAGTTTAGCGTCTGACTCTTGATTTCTGCTCAGATCATGATCTCCTGGTTCGTGGGATCGAGCCCTACATCAGTCTCTGACAGCATGGGGCTTGCTTGGGATATTCATTCTCTCTCTCTCTCTCTCTTTCTCTCTTTCTCTCTGTTTGCCCTTCCCCAGCACATGTGCACACACTCTCAAAATAAATAAATAAACATTAAAAAAAAAAAGACTATTAAGCCATGATACTTGATCCCCAGCTGGGACTACCAATTAAGAGTTCATCTGGTATAATTTTACTAGATTCCTTTTTATATGTTATATACTCTGGCTATTTTTTAAAAATTGTGGTAAAACATACATAACAGAATTTGCAGTTTGAACCACTTTTAAGTGTACAATTGACTGGTTTCTAGAACTTTTATTCATTAGTATCAGTTCTAGTCAACAGATATTTAATGGCCATCAGCTAAGTGCCTTGTGCTGAGGTTAGTAGATCAGTGGAAAATTATGAAAGGAGTATAAATATGGTCCCTGTTCTCAAGGAGATTAAGCCTCATTAGTGAAACAAGATATATGTATACCAGTTAAATAATGATTCATGGTCAGTAAGGCCTCGAATGTTCAAGGAAAGCTTTGTGTAAAGGTGAGAATCAACTTGGTCCTTCATCGGGTAGGGTCTGTCTAGTTTGAGAGGAAGGAGGAAGTGGGCAACTAACATCGCAGGCCAGCTGTTTCAGCGTTCAGTCCATTGTCTTTCATACAATCTTTTGCTTTTTTCCAGCCGTGAAGCACTCACTGTTTTGTTTTTAAGTTAAGCTGACTATTCTGATGAGGGAATATATTATTAGCAAGAAATTAATATTTAAAAAAATCACAGAAATCAAACTTACCTAACTTGTGATACAGACACTTAAAATCCAGAATTATAGTGATAGAAGGGTTAAAATCCCTATTAAAATTCTGTGCAAATATCTGTGTTCATGCAGCATTAAACTTTTCAGTATACTACCACTTGGGAGTAGGTATTTCATTAGTGAGTTTAGAACAATTGCAGTTATAGTTTTTATGAAAAATAATTGTACAAAAATCAGCATGCAATGAAACACATTTATTGAAATTAATCTTGAGTGTCTGCTATTCTGAAATTAGGTAAAAAGTTTAGAATGGGTATAGATTGTGCATAAAAAATGAGTTATGGTTAATCCTGAATAATCTTGTACTTGACAGTTGATGACAAAGGATGGTACCTGTCTTGTTAGTTTATGTCTGTAATGGGTCAGGGATTTTATCTGGGCCGAACATAATGTCTTACAATAAGAATAACAAAGTGAAAACAGTGTTTTTTTCTTTCTCACATCTGCAGACAGGCAAACATACACTTGGGACCCCCATGTTCACGTGACATCAAGAGGAAACGGAAACCTGTGGCCACAGCATCTCTGTCTAGCCCAAATGCAGGTAACTGTATGTAGTTATCATTTCTTGAGCACCGGTTGTATGTCAGGTGCTAAATTATGTTTTATATACCTTTTCATCTAACCTTTATAATAAGGTAGGTCATTTTATTCCCATTTTGTATGGGAAAATGAGAACGTGAGAAAGTAATTTGCCCAAGGTCATGTACATGGTAAGAATTCAAACCCAGCTCTCTCTAACCTAGAAGTCTGTGCTTTTTCACTGTGTCCTGTGGCTTTCTTGAGTTTGAATCCCAGTATTCCACTGGATCAGCAATCTTTAGTCATCTGTGCTTTTGTTCTACCACAGACAAGGAAGTTAGGTCTGTGTTAATGAAAACCAGATAGGATGGTGGTTTAGTCAGTAGTCAGGGAGCCACATGGATTTATTTACTTTCTTATTTGGTTCACAGTACAGTGCATTCTCACTGTTCTTATTTGTAGTAGAGTGCTAATACTTTACTATGCATGGAATTTCTATTTAAAAACTATTTTTAGGGGCACCTGGGTAGGTCAAGTCGGTTGAGCGTCCGGCTCTTGATTTCAGCTCAGGTCATGATCTCACGGTCGTGGAATTGAGCTCCGTGTCCAGCGCAGAGCCTGCTGGGATTCTCTGTCTCCTACCTCTCTCCCCCACTCGCATGCTCTCTCCCGCTCAAAAAAAACAGCTTTCAAGTTAAAACCTGTTCATTTTCGGGGCAAAACCAGTTGATTAGAAACTGAAATAGTGGTTCTCTTTGGTGAGCAGTAGTGACCAGGAGAGGACATGAGGAAATCTTCTAGGAAAGGCTGTATGTCATCCGCTAGGTAGGGTTACATGAATATATACATATGTAAAACTTCATTGAGCTGTACATTAATGATTTATGTACTTTATGTATGTTGTTCTTAAAAAGGGGGGGATGACTATTATTTATATCAGAGAGAATATCGGATGTTTGTAGGTATTTTTCTTTGGAGTTAAGAGAAAGTAGTTAAACATAGTTGGTAATCAGGAAATTTTTGTGTTATTTCAATACAGTTTAGGATGAATTGATCTGGGTAAAAAGATCATATCTATTTGTAGGATCTGTCAGAAATACCTGCAGTTATTTTCTTGATGATGGTGAATTCACCCTGAGGGAATTGAGTATATCATAGATTATTTTATTTTCTTCAGAAAATACTACATATTATATAGATCAGAGCAGTTGATAGCTGAGTAAAGAGTAAGCCTCAGAAAGATGGGGAACTCTGTCCTCCCCCCCCACCCCCTTAGTAAGTTTCAGTATACATTGAAATTGACTTTCAGCTTCTGTTTGGGGTGGCTACTGGACAATCTTATCACAGATCTGGTAATTATAGTAATTTTTTCCAGTGATTTCTACATGGCCATGCCCTGAGCTGATTACTTTCCATGCATTATTTCACTTAATCTTTGCAACAACTTATAATGTAGATGCTGTTTGTATTCCCAATTTACACATGAACAAATTGAGGCTTACAGAAGTTAAATCACTTCCCCGAGGTCACATGGGTGATAAATTGCAGTGCCAAGGTCAAACCGGTTTCCCTAGGACTCTCGAGCTGCCTTCTTACACACTTCAGGTGTTCTGTGTTATATAAGGTAGAATTGGTTCCAAACAGTGACTGTATCAAAACCCACCCAGATCCTCATTCACTCTATGGTATTGAAAACATTAAAACACAATCTCCCCTTTTTATCTTTTTTTTCCTCCTTAATATCTAGCTTCTATTTTTAGGTTTTAGTTGTTCATAAGACAAGAACTGTTGAGAAGAGTTTAAAATCCTTGTTCCATACTCAAATCAGGAAAGGTACTGGGAGGTATTGAATAAGACTTGGGGCATTAAACGTTTCTCCTACTGAGCTCAAACCCTCCTCTCACTTGTTGACTAAGGTCTGCTTCACTGAACATTTTTTTTTTTTTCTATCCACAACCCGAGTGCCCCATGGAGGTGAAGGACATAGCCCGAGCCCGCACCATCAGTCAGTAGAACAAATGGGCTTGCTCTGCCTAACATCGGGCCATCTCGGATTCCACCTCTTTTATAGAAATGAGTGATGAAGAGAGGTGCGTTCCGCTTTGCCGCTGTATTAATACACATCAGGGGCCAGCTCCTGGCACTAAATCACGCTACTGCATACATCTGTTATCGGACTCTTCACCAGTGTGATGAACAAGACTGCAGATAGAGGCTTCCTTGTGTCATTCTTTATAGGATTTTCCTAAAAGAATAAATAGCTCAGATCTCTGCCAACACTCTCCCCTGTCACTGTGATGAATTCAGCTTCTTTCTTAAACATGCAGCCACAAATCTTTTTCCTTTTCCCCTCCCCCACTGGTAGAAAGTTTTGAGTTGAGATTGACTGAATTTAAAGGTATTAATAAGGCTAGAGAGGTGAAGAGCGGAAGGGAGTAGCTTGTCTTGTCTTTTTATATTAATACTAAGAAAAGCCAGGGGAAAAGGCCTTTCCATTAGGTCGTTAAATAGATCTTGAAAGTGTAGCACCTTTATTTTCTTCTTTTTATGTCCACTTCCCTTCTCTTTATGACTTTATAACGTACACAGGTGTCTGGCACACAGAGCCACCTTTGGAGTTTAGCGAGAAACTGTGTAAACTGGCTTCTGTTTCGATAGCACCAGAACAGGGAAGACCCAGTAAGTCTGTCCCTCGTGCTCAAGTGAATTTGCTGGATATGCTCTTAAAGAATGTAACTGGAAAAGAAAAAATGGGTTATTTTCTCTGAGGTTCAAGATCTTAAGTAGTTATAAGAAAACGTAAGGAGCACAGCTGAAAACTAGGTTTCATTTCTATGAGATGATTTTCTTCATTAGAATGATAGAATGGAGGCTTTGGTGTACAAATCCTATTCCTTCAAAAATTAAACACCTGGCTTCGGGTAAAGGAGAGTTGGGGGGTGGTATGATGCTGTATTCAGAGCCCTGAATTCAGAGCCCTGTTTTAGCCATCCCCAAAGCCTCTTCTGACCTTCCTGTCTCTGGGACCAGATATGTGTCCTTAGAGCATCGGTTGGAAGGGTACTCAGCAGTTCCAAATACCAGGCCATTGATGCTAGAGACACATTTGCAAGGGCAGGAGTTTCTGTCTGGTTTGCTCATTTCTGTACTCCTGGCATCTAAAATAATACTCTGCCCGGAGAATGATCTCACTAGATAGTTTTCATGTGAATAAGTGAGTACAATCTTAAAGTTGAAACAGAGTTATTCTGAAAATTACTCTGACCCTGTGACTGGATTCAGTAGTTCCACTGTAAGTGGAACTGGGCCTTGTCCCAGGAGTCATAGGGCAGATTCTTATCGCCCCTTTTTGTTTTTTTTTCCTACTGCCCCTTTTTAAAGTTTCAATGGTTTTTAAAGTTAAAAATGTTTTTTAGTAAATATTGAATGGCTATGAAAGAAGATTGGTAGAAGATCTGTAAGGTATTAAGGAAAACAATATAGCAAATATCCATGTGCCTACCATCCACTTTAAGAAAAAGACCACCACCTTTAAAGTCTTCTTCTCACTGTCCTTGGAGCTCACCATTGTCCTGATGTGGTTTTTTGTTATATTAAGAAGTGTTTTTTAAAAATCATTTGTCATTCTTTGGGGTTTGTTTTCAAATTGCTTTAACAGACATATGCTCTCTAAGCAATATATTGTCTAGTTAGCATGTTTTAGAGGCTTGTGTTAATGGAATGTCCTCTTTTATACGTTACAAGTTTCACCCAGGTGTATTTGAGATTCGCTCATGTTTTGTCCTGCCAAAATCCTTTTTTTTTCTGCCGTATGTAGGGTATTCCGTTGTATGAATACGGTGAGTATACTGCAATTAAACATTCCTAAGGGACATTTGGATTATATCCCATTTTATGCTATTGTGAAAAATACTGCATTGTTCTCTGGGAGAACATGTGCCAAAGTGTCCCTGGGCCACTTCACACTCCTTAGGATGGCTGTGTCAGGGAACAGGGAACAACAAATGTTGGGAAAGATGTGAAGAAATTGGAATCTTGTGCATTAATGGAGGGTATGTAAAATAGTGTAGCCACTGTGGAGCCCTGTGGTGGTTCCTCAAAATTGTAAACGTAAAACTGCCATGTGATCCAGCAATTCTGCTTCTAAGTGTATACTCAAAAGAATTGAATGCATGGATTCAAACAGATAATTGGACACCCGTGTTCATAGCAACATTATGCACAGTAGTCAAAAAGTGGAAACAACCCAAATCGATAAATGTATAAATTGATAAACAACATGTGGTATATACACACAGTGGAATATTATTTAGCCTTGACAAGGAAGGAAATTCTGACATGCTACTGCATGAATGAAGACATAACGCTAGGAACGCCGGGGCGGCTCAGTCGGGTAAGCATCCGACTTTGGCTCAGGTCATAACTTCACGGTTTGTGAGTTCGAGCCCCGCACCGAGCTCTGTGCTGACAGCTCAGAGCCTGGAGCCTGCTTCGGATTCTGTGTCTCCCTCTCTCTCTCTGCCCCTCCCCCACTCGCTTGCTCTCTCTCTCTCTCTCTCTCGAAAATGAACATTAAAAACAGACAATGCTAAGTGAAATCAGTCAGACATAAAAAGATAAATACTATATGATTTCAGTTACATGAGGTACCTAGTATGGTCAAGTATGTAGAAACAGTAGAATCATGGTTGCCAAGGACTGGGGAAAGAGGAGAATAGGAGTTACTATGTAATAGGATAGTGTTTCCATTTGGGATAGTGAAGAAGCTCAGGAGTGGGATGGTGGTGATGGTTGTGCAGCATCGTGAACGTACCTGATGCCTCTGAACTGTACGCTTGAAATTTGTTAACGTGGGAAATTTTATGTTACGTGTATTTTACCGTAATAAAAAAATACAGAGCAAAAAACCAGTTTTCCTAGGATAAGAGGTGTTTTCCCACTGCGGCTGAATACCATATAGTAACGTTAGATTAAGTTCCGTGAAATTTATTTTCAGCTAAATATGAGTGAGTGAGCGTGTTTTGCGTGTGCGTGTGCATGTGTGTGTAAGAGAGACAGAGAGACAGATTGGGGTTGTGGTGTCAAACGTATTTCTTACTGCTATGGGTGAGGTTCCAAAATGTTTGAAATCTGTGTCGTAGAATAATAGCCTGCCGTGAGAAATTCATGTTTGAATATGTATGTGGGTGTGCATGTAAAGCTAAAATAAATTCTTGGGTTCACGCTGATATATATTACTCCTTTTCGTTAGAAAAAAATACCGGTCTTGGCCTACTAAATTGATTTGGTGACCCACAGTTTGAAAATTACCGTTCTGGTTACATTCCTAGGAGATGAATTATTGAGTGACAAGGTAAAAACAAACATTTTCTAGATTTTGCTGTATTTTAGTGTCTATCCGTTCACTCTGAACAGAGTGGGTGTGATGGTGGTTTGTACCCCTCTGCTCGGGCATTTGGAAATGTGAGGACACTGTTTGGTCATCACAGTGACTGAGGAGTGCTTTTGGTATTCAGTGGATGAGGTCCAGAGTGGAAGTGCCCTAAAGTATACGGGGCAGCCCTGCACAAGCAACGATTGTCGTGTCCAGAATATCTTCGGTGTCCTTGTCGAAAAACACTGGGCCTGACGGTGTAGTTTTTCTACCATTTTTCTTTTTGTGTGCTGTTTATTGGTAACACTGTGTTATTGGAGGCGTGGGCTGTAACAAGCCTAGGGCTTGAAGTCCGGAATCAGGGTTTGAATCTTGCTACTTAACCAGCTCTGTTGTGTCCCTGAACAATGTATCTGCTTGTCTCTCTGCCTCAGTTTTTTGATCCAGAAAATGGAGATGACAATACCTACTTCCAAGGGTTTGCCTTAGGAAATAAGATTATGGTTGTAGAGTATTTACAAGCTCATAAGTGCTCAATAAATGATAATTACTACATTATGAATTTGTACTGCTGTATTTATTTGTTCAGTTAAACCCGTTTTCTCAGGTAGAGACATACTTACCTTACTTAAATCTTGCCTTTATTATTATTATTTTTTTTTTTTTGGAAAGGAAAAACAGAAACCTTATGTGGCCACTTGGGTTAATAGAGTATAAAATAAAAGGACTCAGAGAAATTTGCCTTGAAGTGTCTCTTATTCTAATTTGTCTCCCCTTGATCTTTTCTTCCTTATTTTTATTGTAACCACCTTCCCAGTTCACGTGGATGTAGTGGAGCCAACCACACCAGCATCGCAGGTCCAGAAATCTCCAAACCCTGAGTGGTTGGTCAGGACCTCTGCCGCAGAGAAAGCTACTGACTCCGTTGCAGCTACGTTTTTTAAAATGCCACCAGAAAAGAGCCCTGGATACAGCTAGAGGGCAGGAGCCCACCCACCGGGAGCCGCTGGGTGTCATGCAACGCATCCTAGACGTGGTGTCGCAGAGCCTTGCATATCGCAGTTGACATTCCCAGTCCTTTTACCGCCAGGATGACCCCTCTTCAGACAAAGCAGTGGACTCTTTCTCTTAGAAAATCATGTTGTGCAAATCTGGTTTAAAAAAAAAAAAATTAGTAAAGTATTGCAGCAGCAGTTTAAAACAGAAAAAAAAAAGTCATCCTCTGCTATTTGTTACATTGCTGTCGTTGTCCCAACAGTTACCTGCAGCCCCGTTTACAGAGCTGTTGCTTTTTGCAGGTATGTCTCTTTCCTTGAAAAACTAGTAACTGCTTTTGCATACTTTTTGTGTAGAGCTTTTAATATCATTTGAGGAAGTCCCAAATTGGTAGCCAGTTCTAGACAGATTTAAACACTGAGTTAAGACCGGTGTGTGGAATTGCGTTTGCAGAGACAAGGTTTGCCTTTGAGCCTGGTCTTGATTCACTGATCGTGCCAATAAGCTAAATCCATCAAGTTCTCATTTTGGAGCCTCAGAGGAGACCCCAGCGGCCGGGACAGCGGGAACTTCTTCCAGTTTTCTAAATGGCCTAATGGGATCTCCAGCAGATGCATTTGTACTTGGCCTCGTCTCCAAAGTTGGTGTTCTCCTGCAAGAGGATGTCTGTATTCATGATGTAATGAAGAAAATGGTTTAGTTGTTCAACAAACTTAAAATAGTCAGTGGATTGTGTCTTAATACTTCATGTCACAGTGTAAGCCTTTATGTACTAAATGGGAATTTTATTGTTAGTTTATAGGTCAGTAACCTGCAGCAGAAATTCATACTCTGTTATAATAATGGCTTCTTGGGGCCGTACTTTGGGGAGAAAAATGTCTTTTTGACACGCCTTTATACTTGGCGTGTTTATGACGGCTCAGCTGCGTGTGGAGTTATGTATACAGCCATGCCTGGAGTTGGATGCCGCTTTGTCAGAATGAGGAATAAGTGACTGCCTGGAACCGCTGGGGAAAAGCCACCCTTTCTAAAAAAGTATTATCAAGAGTGTCTGTCATTCAGAGGACTGGTTGACAGAGCGTTCTTTTTTGTACGAATTGAGTACATTTACTCTGAAATGTACAGAAACTGTTTTCAAAGTGCCCACTGCTCTGGAACATTCCAGAGGAACTCCCAGCCCCGCGCCTGGATATTTTCTGTGCTTGAATAGGTGCTGAGTGTCAGGACAGAGCCTCCTTTTTGCGAAACGCAGTTGTCCCTTCTCCTCACACAGAATGTGAGGGTGGGCTGCTCTATCACGTTCCCTTTAAAAATGGTAGTCCTCTCCAGTGCCAAGTCCAGGGTTTCCTTGTTGATGGGTGGGTGTGAGTCTAGTTGGAAAGGGGGACTTGAAGGTAATTTACGTAGCCCTTTTCTGTAACGGAGAACGGAGAACATGTCAGCTGTAACAAGGGGTATGGTGGAGGGAGGGGCAGGCGGAGATTGTGAGGTGAGGGAGTGGCGTGAATGCCAACCCAGCATCTCTGGGAGCCACCCCTGGTTCTCATGCAGTAGTGAGTGTACTTCCCTTCCCTGGGGTCTGTAGCCGTGGCAGTATAAGAGATAAAGTGCCTGTTGAATATGAAATGGCACTACCAAGTTGTTTTAGTGACGGAGGTTGGCTTGATTGTCCTGTGTGCATTCAAACCTAGTCCCCGTCGTGTCCTGAGACAAATCTCTAATGTAATTAGTTGGATTTAAGGGAGAAATCCATGGACGTAATTTTACTTTCTTTGCACTAAGCTCTGGCTGTTGTAGAGACGGGTCCTGTCATCATAGCCTATTCAGACTTCCACAGTTCAGGGCTAGTCTTATGGCCTAGCAGTTCTCCTTTCTACCTGTGATTACAAATAATTTACATAGACAACTTTATTTACATTTTAAGCATCTGTGTGATGTAAGGGTAGGTGACTGCTGCCATTTTTCAGAGACCAGAAATAAAGTTTAGCACCTCGCCCAGAAATCACATAATCAAGCCAAAACTGAAATCCCAGATTTTTGGACTTCCTCTGCCCTGGGTTATAATCTTTTGTTTTTCATTGATAGACCTGAGTGACTCGGAGACCCATAATTTTGAAACAGTGTGTCATGAACGTTTATCATCTTTCTTGGGCATGCTTTTCTACATATTTTGAGTACATTCAACAGGGATTACCCCCAAATGCCATATCTACCTATAAGTGGGGAAGAAAATTAGTTGCCTAAAAAATAGCCATGAATACTTTGCAACACAGGGTTGTCAGCTGTGCTCCTCATTTTAGGCTGCTGCATGAGCATGCTTACAGAATTATTAACCAACTTACTTTGCTTCTTTTCTGTATGAGTCAATTCCAGAGGAGTAACCTTAGAATGGGGTGTTTTTTGAATCTTAAATTTTAAATTTCTTTTTTATATGGCCAAGTGTATGATGTCATGCACCGAGAAAAGTCTGTTACCTTTCAACAAAAGATGTAATTTTAAGATCAGGTTTTGTAGTCTGTTGAAAAAACTCTCATAGCATGACTTCCTTTGGGGATAATCATTGAGCTCACATGCATTTGATCTACTCAAAACTAGTAACTGAAGCTGAGTTGCACAGTTCTTGCTTATTTCAGGGTTCTGATTTATCCTAGCCGGCTATACAGCCTGCCTGTCTGAATCCTAACCTGTATTTTCCACGGTGGGCACAAGTCAAGACATTATCTACTTGCATGAGCATCGTTCATAAAAATTAGTTTTGCTTATGAATTTAAGGGAATTGGAGATTATTTTTCATTTTAAGGGAACAGGTTCATTTGCATCAACTCTTGTGTTACTTTTTGGTAAGAACTGTGCAGAATAGGGAATTAGCTGTTTCCGTGGTGCCAAATTTGGGAGGGGCAGGGTGTGGTCTCTATTGAGCGGTGTATGCTTAATAAATAGGGCACATTTAACCTTGAATTCTTTTGAAATCAAATGCAGTTGAAAATATCAGACGACATTGTTTTGCTGGGCTGTGACACAGGCTGCGAACAAGGCCATTTTGGCAGTAAAGTGACCAAAAGCTGAAATAAAACTTCCTAATCTGTGATGCTTGTGGCATCCTTTGCTAAGTCAAGCTCCACACCGAGGACAGGTAATTAAACTACTTAGGAATCCCACATAGACGGCTCTGATCTGTCCCTGTATTTTGGAATCAGAGACATGGTCTAGACCCACAGCATTGGTGGTTGTCGAGCTGCAGAGGAGCAGAGTCACCACAGAGGTCACTTACAGTGGAACAGGTTACGGTGTCAGGAGGAAGGAGCTAGGCTGGCAGTGTCATTGCTGGTGTGACGGCTACTCCACTTTGGCTCTAAGGCTCCTGGTGATGTTTGATTTCATTTCTGGTCTTCTATTTATATGACTTCATTCCTCTGGTCAGAGCCACATGCTTTTTGTTTCCTGAGGCGAAGACTATGTAAAAATCTTAGCATTACGAGCCACATTCAGTGTTCCCTAAGTCTGGTGAAATTCAGCCGAGCTGGCGTGAGAACAGACTGGCCTACTCTAGCAGCTGTGGATACAGTCTAGCTGGGGGCAGAGTTTACAGGGTGTGTCATGATTCATGTGGTGGCCGGAGGGATAGTAAAAGCAGTTTGCCCCTGATGTCAGCTGTTACCTTTGTTAATACTTGAGCTGTCTCACTTGTTGGTATTTGCCTGTTGGTGGCGGCAGTCAGGATGGGCTCTTACCCCATCAAGCAACAGTACTGAGGGAGTTGTTGGGTTTTGCCAATGCACTAAACGCAAGGTGGCCCGGAGAGGCTTTCACCTACATTAAGATCCCAAAAGAGATGAATGTCAAATGCCCGAAAACAGCAATGTGGAATAGACACAAGGAAAATGAATGATGCTGCTGAAGCGTATGGATCTGTAAGGTTTTTAGCAAGCCCAGCAAAACAAACTTCTGGCCAAAAGAAATTTTCCCGCCACTGCACATAGGCGTGTTAAGCACTTGGGGAAATTGCCAAGTTTTCGGAACGTAAGCTTTTCAAGCACAGTATTGAAGAATGAGGCAGATCCTGAAGATGTTCACCGGGGAAAACAATCTTGGCAAAGTTCAGAAGTAAGAAGGCATGACGAAGAGAAGGAGACATGCTTAGAGCAGAGGTGCTGGGGCCTGTGGACGGACAGCAGCAGCACGTCCTCGCCCCAACCACACATACTGGACCAGAAATGGAGGGTGGGTTGGGCAGTCTTACAAGCCCTCCGGGGGACTCTGGTGCACGCTGACATTTGTGAACCACAGGCTTTGTATAGTTAAATGTTTTAAGATGTTGGTGTCCCTCTAAGCTGTAAGGTGCACTTACATTTCTCTCCAAAAGTATAGACGTGTTTTGTATATGATTCTTTGCAGAAATTGTTAATGTCTTTATTTCCCATACTTTTTCCCTGAAGCTCCTAAAAGATCTCCTGGAAATATTGGGAAAGGATGATGGGGAGAAAAATGTCATCAAGGCCATATTTAGATGGATGGAAACAACCTTTCACGTGGGTTAAAATATAACAGTGAATTTTCAGTCTGTGCGTGATAGTCATTTTTCACAACAGACAGCAAAACATTTGTGTAACGTACGGCCGCCTATGATTTCATGATACTTGTTCATTGCATCTTAATTTCCTGGGAAAGTGTTATGTCTTTTCCGGCACAATAATGACGAAGTCTTTAGAGTGTGGCTCACAAAAATGAAAATAATTGGCTGAAGAGACCATCCTGAGTACATAGTGTTGTGGAATAAATCCTTGTTGAGCTATTGGTGATCTTTTGCTAGAACTTAATCACACCCTATTGTCTTTGTGTTACATTTCAGTGATTCTGCAGAGGTTGGTGACCAGCAGCAACAGAATGTTGTATATTTTTGTGTTGTCTGACTCAAGGATTCGGCATTTCCGAATACGGTACTCGAGTCCTAAAGCTTTGAAATGAAATTGCGACCATTTCTTTCTTTGGGTTTTATTTGCACAAATAGGGCTAGGCTGTAATTTATTACTAAAGCCTTGCGAGCCCAAGATTTTCTCTGGGAATATGTGTGGCCAACGAGGACTTCTCTGGTATCATGTCCTCAGGTACTCACGTT